CAACCACCTGATACACATTCATCAGTTTGCGCAGCTCATTTACACACTTTTCATGAAGATAGAAGTGTTTGTTGAATCTGACGTGACATGTTCATACGAACCATTTGTACGAACAAAAGTAAGAGAAATTTAGGATAAGAATACGAACATGTTCTTGCATGAGGCCCAATGTTAGCACTAAAATACATAACATGGCCAAGATTATAGAAAAGTGTGTTTTCATTTAAATGTTTTTCAAAACACTCCTGATATTCTCTCTATGAAAGTGTTTGTAGTCTATCATAAATGTATGCAAAATTCAATTCTACATGGGATTATAACAATATAAAGAATTTATTGGCTATTTGTATGTTTGGTTAAATTTTAAGAGCACTTATTTGTTTGTGTGTGACTCTCAGACTGAACCTCCAAGTCAGAGGCACATTCGAATCCAGAAAGAGCTGTGGAAGATTCAAGACGTGATGGAAGCTCTTTCTAAAAATAAAAACAAGACCAAGCAGAGCACAGAGAGCTGTAAGTTTGCAAAAAAATATTTTTAAAAATCTAATAACTAAGCTGAAGAATACCACCCTTTTTAAAACTAGATCTTTTCTGCAGCCAGGGTGCTGCAGTGTTTTCATTTAGAGATTGGGGCTAATAAAACTTCCTCAAACATTTTAGGCACAATTTAGATTCTTTTGGTGCTTTCTGGTTGATTATTTTAACTGATACATGAAAAGTTTCACCTTTTAAATGTATTGTTTATTTTTTCTTTTCAGTTAGTTTTCCTGGCTTCAAGCCTCTCTCCAGTCTGCAGAAGAATGAGGTACAGTATTATTCCAGTCTATACTGTAAAACTAACAGAAAATGCACATCCTATTCAACCTATTCAAACTAAAGCAGAACATGTTATGGTTTGTACATGGAAAATTCAGGAAACAGATACAAAATCTTGAGGTACTCTGAGTAAAAAAAACCTGATTTATTTACAAAATAAAAAGGCAGAAAATGTACTTAGAAAAACTCTGGGAGAAAACTCGAGTCAAAACACACAGATGACAAACCAGACTGACTGTGGAAAGTATAAAAAACTGACAGAGAACACAAGACATGTCAGAGAATATAAAGGGACCCTAATAAACGTACTTGAGAAACATGAGGAACACCTGTACCTAAAAGGATTGAAGGTGAGTCTGGAGCAGAGACAGGAGAATTGAAATGACACAGGGAAGAAAAAACATTAGAAAGAAACAAGATATGAAACAAAAAAAGGAAACGACTAGGAAATCCTACAAAAAAAAAAATCAGACAAAGTAATACCAGAACCACTGTTGTAGGGGCTGTAAATATTTAGTAGAACTTGAGGTCTTGTTAAACTAGAATAAGGGAAGAAAGCCTGGCTTTGTTGAATCTGACTTTGTGTTTTTAGCTCCCATCCAACCCCCACACCAGTTGAGGACCATGTTAATGGGGACCTTCATTTAGGCTATTTTTAGAACACTAGTCACATGACTTTGCCCATTCGACACTAGTGTGCGTGGAAACTCTTGTAACAGCTCCATCGATTTCCGTTGATTTCAGTGGAGCTACGTCGGTTTTGCTGTGTGTAAACCTAAACCAAGTTGGGAAAACAGCATCAAACTCCACCAGAAGGACCACAAAACATTGTGCTACGATTTTTGTAACAGTGATGCAGGATACACAGCCATTGTCCCCACATGGAAGGAGTATTATTTGTCTTCTTTTCCCAAGCTAACATAACAGTTAACATCTGGAATCAATTGTAGAGACGAGTTGAACTTGACTGGAAAAAAGTTAAACCATGGACTTAACATCCACGCCAAACATTTTGTCGGAGGTAAAAGACCAACACTGGACCACCGCTCTGTCGATAAAACAGTACAGTACACCTTATTTTGTCAGGGCTTAAGGTTCTCTGTCGCTACCAAGAATTTCCGTCGTTTTGAACATGGCCTGGATGGATTTTGGAAATATTACTCAAGTAAAGTAAAAATACTAAAAAAATGTACTTAAGTACAGTACTTGAGTAAATGTACTCTGTTACTGTCCACCACTATGCCCAGGACGAAAGCCACACTGCTCCTCCTGAATCCGAGGTTGGCCAATCGATCAGAGCTTCCCTTTTAACACCCTGGAGTAAACTTTCCCTGGCAGGGCGAGAAGTGCAATCCTACAATAATTAGAACACACTCTCTGGTTCCCTTTTTCAAAAATGGGAACCACACCCCAGTCTGCTACTCAATAGGTGTTGTGCCAGTCCTCCATGGGAGACGTGTCAACCATGACAGCCCCACAACATTCAGGGGCTTCAGTATCTCGGGACGAATCTTGTCCAGCCCTACCACTTAAGAGCTTTTTGACTACCTCTGTAACCTCTGCCATGACAATGGACTTGTCTTCCCCCGAGTCTTCAGACTCTGCTTTCTTAAAGGTGGACATGGAGGGGAGGATTGAGGAGATCCTCGAAGTGCTCCTTCCACCGCTCAATGATATCCTCAGTCTGGGTCAGCAGTTCCCCACCCAAACCAAGTACAGCCTGGGACTGTCAAAGTTCCAGTGGCATGGCAGACCCAGAATGCAGACAGATGAACGTGCTCAAGAAATAAAAAGCTTTATTAAAGCAAATGCCAATGTGGCAGCAAAAACAAAACAAGAACTCTTGAGCACAAATGGAGAACAAGAAACAGCAAACAATGATCGGACGAAGGAGTGGAGGAAATGAGCCAGTAATATAGTGATGGGGTAAGTGGAAAGTGGAGACAGCTGTGATGATTACAAATACAAACAGGTGAGGGAGAAAGATCAAGAAAGAACCAGAAAAGACTGAGTAACAAGATGAGCACGAAAGACACAAGACAAACACCAGAAGGAGACAGAGCACAAAATCTGGGCCTGGCCAAGGCAAGGCAGGAACTCAGGAGGTTAAAGCTGGGACTTTGGAGGTTGGTCTCGGGCCCTGCCATGGTGAAGATGAAGCCCAGGATGGTGGCCCGAAGCTCGGCCTAGATGGGGTGGGGTCCCTGGAACACTCTGACTTGGGGAACCAGAAAACCCAGGGGCCTGTTTAGACACAGGAAACTTGGAGGCCAGCATGGACTCAGGAGACTCTGGCTCAGGAAAATTGGGCAGAGACTCAGAATACTCTGGATACTCGAACTCTGGAAACAAACTCTGGACTCGGAGGATTCTCAGGTGTCAGCATGGAAACTAGACACTTGGAGGCAAACATATCTTACATGAGGGCTGAGGACTCGTGGGCTGAGGACTCTGAAAACTTGGATGCCGGCATGGACTCTGAATATTTAGATGCTGGCGTGGACTCAGTATTTGGACACTGGTGTGGACTCTGGAACAGAAATTGAAGACTTGTGAGCAGAAACTGAAGACTCGTGAGCAGCTCGTGAGCAGGAACTGGAGACAAGTGAGCAGGAACTAGAGACTCGTGAGCATGAACTGGAGACTCGGAGGCGGCACTGGAGAGCGTGGATAGGAGGTGTCAGGAACCCTCCATGAAGAACGTGTATGGGAGACATCAGGGACCCTTCCCTGGAAAACAGGTATGGGAGGTGTCGGGGACCCTCCCTCAGGGTTTCCCCTAGGATTTTTTTAAACCCTGGTGGTGGCCTCTCGTGCGAGGTGGGGGTGGGGGGGGGGTGTTGTCAAAATCTGCTTGTCTGCAAAAATCAATAAAAATGTAATAAGTAGGCTATGCAGTCCTGTATACAAAGTTTACTATATACAAATGTTCTCAGTCAGCCAGGTTGACAGTTTCAGGAGCTGCTTCAGTAAAACTTTCTCCTCCTCCTCCTTTTTTGAAAGGGAGAACAAAAATCATCATCCACAAGCTTTCTGGTTACAGGTCAAACATTTTAATTTAAATAGGAGTATACTGTCTACATGACCTTTTTAAAAGTTGTAGTTTAGTGTTAGGAATGAAGACTTTGAGGAAAGAGGTTTTTAAACATCTCTTCTATCATTTTAGTGTTTTTAACTGAGGAGCTTTGAACCATTTATTTTAAAAAATTATAGCAGAGGAAAAACATATATATTTTTACTGATGTTTTAACCAAACTGACAAGTTTCTAAACTAAAATTATTGTGTAATTTAAAGGCATTGAAACACCTGGTTAAATTTAGAAGTTATTTATAGTTAATTACAAACACCTGAAGCTGACTCAGAGAGCTCTTTGATTTTAGACCCCCGCCCCCCCCCACACTTTCCTCCAGTGGCGGCAGTGAGAACAGACTGGGAGACTGTGGTCGGGTTTCTCTTCCAACGTAGAAGGTTCGGCAGGTGGGTCCACAGTCGGGGTGAGAATAGCTGCACGGAGGAGTCTTCGATCTCTCAAAGCCTCAGAAAAGAGCTCCGACATCCCTGAGCTGGCGGGCAGCTGTGGGAGTTGGATGAAGAGGCTTATAAAGTCTTCCATAGCCACCCACCTGACCAATAAATCCACATAGGGGTCTCCTGCATCCTGAGTCCTCCTCCAGATCAGAAGCTCTTCCTCTGGAGAAGGCTCGAAAAAGTCTACCTGCTGGGTTCTGGTCTGGTCCGATCGTTCTGTTCTGTTTTTCTCTACAGCTTCCCGAATTCTTGCCATTTCTGAGTTTTTGCATCTGCAAACACTGAAGCCGCTACCATATTTGCCACCCTGTACTTGCCAGCTGCTTTCAGAAGTCCTATGTGGAAGCCAAGTCTAGAAGACCTCTTTGAGACTGACAGCCTCCATCACCACTGGTGTCTACCAGCAGGTCCTTTGGTTGCCGCCACAAAAGGCACAGATGACCTTCAGGCCACAGCTCCTGGAAGCAGCTTCTAAAATAGAGGCCCTGAACATGGCCTGTTTGGATTCCATATTCCCGACCAACTCCCGGGACATATAAATAATACTCCCAGAGATGAGAGTTAAAGATTGCACAGACAGGGGGCTCTGCCAAACATTACCAGCTCACTCACTATTTGTTTTGGGTTTACCAGATCTGTCCGGCAGCCTCCCCCTCCACTGGATCCAACTCACCACCAGGTGGAGATCAGATGATGGCTCTGCCCCTCTCTTCACCCGAGTGTCCAAGACATAGAGCTGCAGGTCAAATGACACAATTACAAAATCAGTCATCAACCTTTGGCCTAAGGTGGCCTGGTACCAAGTACACTTTTGGACCACACTATGCGCAAACATGAAGTTTTTATGGACAACCTGTCGTAAGAAAATTGTGATCAATAAATTGTAAGTGTGAATAAAATAGCAGAAAACCAATTGATTCTCTTCCAGAAAACTTTATTCTCATCTGACTCCAATCAGGCCCACAGCAGCCAGCAGCAGGTCTCAGAGAAAAAGGCCTTAGTTATTGTCAGAACCAAAATATAAACGCCTTCTCTAGCAGCCGGCATCTGTCCTAGGCTGAATCTAAGGGAGTGACTGTACAATGAATAATGATGAATCAACCTATTAACATATACATCCAACTTCCTGGTCACACACCTGTAGGCGGTACCTTTTACGTCAGGCAGTAGAACGTAATCAGCTGTTTTTATATTACAAACAGAATGAACACACTGATAAGACACACTGACTCTGTTCCTCTGTTTAAACCATATGACTGCACAAAGTGTAAAATACAAAACTATTTAAAATTCATTTAATCGGTCACAAAATTTATTTCACTGTGCTTAGCACAGAAGTCCAATAACAGACCACCATTCGGGTTCAGATCAAGGAGATCATTCCTCCCAATCACCCCCTTCTGTAAATGCCCATGTGGGCATTGAAGTCACCCAGTATAACAAGAAAGTCCCACAGATGTCAGCCCTTCCAGGACACCATCCAAAGACTCCAAAAAAGCCGGGTAATCTGAACTGATGTTTGGTGCATAAGCACCAACAACAGTATGAAACTTTCATTTCTGAAGTTGAAGACGATTGGCTCCAATGTGATTTACATGCGAATCCAAATCCTCACTTGGCTTCTCAGGTGGAGCTATTAAAGCCAGCATCTCAGCTCACTACAGACTTTGAAACGTTGACCCCCTTCACCTGCTGCCTGGCATGCACCCAACCACCAGGCACTCACCAGCAAACTACCACCCCAGGTCTGGCTCCATGGAGGTGCCCCAGTTTCCCTTTTCCAGACGAGGTTTCTTGATGTGGTTGATGTTCCATTTCATCAAACAATCTGATTTGCTCTTAGCCCTATGAGCGATCCTACCAGGGGCTAATGCCCCTGGCAACCCCCAGAATGACGAGGGTACCCAAACCTTTCCACCACATTGTTTCTTAAACCATGCATAAGTGGTGACTCGAATTATAAAAATACACACAGAGACACATACACACATGATAAATGCACCAAAGCTATAAAACACAGTTTAATACACCAAACTTTTTAACAGTTCTTCTCACTTTCCAAGTCTGCCGAAGACCTCAACTCTCCAGTCAACCTTTGAACTGAATTTTCCTGCGATGTCTAAAGTTAGACATGTTGAAATTTGCTCCAAGATTGTCTTTTTCGGTTATAGTAGTCATGCTGGATCTCTGTAGAACCCACTCTCATTGTCTGATCATTTGAGAAAGCAGCAGATAATGTATGTCTGATATGTGTGAAGTATCGAGTGATGGTCCCCATTGTGACTTTAAGATGGAAAACAATAAAACTACAAATTTGCAGATTTAAGTTTCATTTTTCAAGTTTCTTCCTGGGATTYATTGCCAACAGTAAAGCTCATCATTGTTTTTCATGGTGACACAAGCTACTTAAATAAAAGTTACTTGACAATGAAAAATACGGCTTTGGATTCCATCAGGGGTCACCAACTTGTTTGAGACTGAGAGCTACTTCAGGGGTACTGAGTAACACGTAGGGCTGTTTGACAGACATAAATTTGCACGTCTCACTTTAATTATAGTATTGATAATAAGAAATTTGCTTGTGAATATTTACCTGATGATCCTAATGTTAAGGGCTGCTCACAATAATTATTATCAATAATTTATTATGGCAGATATGAAAATCTAATATCAGTAATAGGAGATTGGAACTCTGTGTGGCACCAATAGGGACCTGCTCTATATCATCTCTTCTGTTGGCAGTCTCACCATGTCACTTTATTCTTATAATTGTTTCTTACAATTAAAAGCATATTTAGTTTGATTTTCCTGGGTACACATGCAGCTATATGTGCTGATATTTCTGTAATATGTTTGCTCAAATTGATCTGTGAGGATGAATGGTTTGTACATTCAGCTTTTATTTTAATAAGTTCAGTAGAGTTCTGTTCCAGCGCTAAGACATCCAATAACAATTTTTAGCTGGCAGTGACATTGCTGCCAGTTAGTCCACTCCTGGAGGGGAACAGTGTAACCCTTTCCCAACACAACTCATCTGAAACCCTCCTTTGCGTGTACCCCCACCAGTCACACCGCATCTGGCCTCCTCCCAATCACCGACCTGAAGAACGCAAGGCTAGCTCCAGAAATGGAGATCACACTGTAAGTGCAGTTCAAAGAATTCTGTAAGAACCATTCAAACCCTTCATACCCCACCTACTTCCTCATCTAAGGGCTGCGTCACATGGCAGGATAATTGTGCCGAGTTTTGACCCTTCCGATAATCCTAAGGATGTCCAAATTATTGCGATGGCTCTAAAGATAATCAAAGCAGATATTCCTGCTGTGGGTGGTGAGTTAAGAGTGATCTAGTCGGCTCAGAAGGACATCAGGACCGCTCCGATATGAAATTGGGAATGTTTGATTTTTTTGGCTCAATATCACAGCGTGTGTGGTGTTCACTTGCGAACAAACGAGCTCGCAACCTGTTGAATATGACATGCAGCCAATCAGAAAGCGAGATAATGTAAACACGGAAGGGAATCCAAAATACAGAAGACATGAAAAACTGTCTTGACTCACCAGAAAGTGTGCTGGACATTAAAAGTCCTATGGAATTGTTTTTCCTCTGGTGAAAATAGTCCACAAACAATCAACATTGTTTCTTCCTTGTCACAAATGTTTATTTACTCTCTAATCATGCCTCTCTGGAGGTAGGGATGGGTACCTTTGACATTTGAATCGATTCGGTATTGTAACATGATGTATAACTTATTTATTTAAGGTGAAAACTCTTGAAAACAACTAACGTAGTGTTTTGTTTTATTGCACAAATTAAAATCCAGCTCCACGTGTTTCTATTGATGTCATTTCCCCGCCAGAAAAATTGTGTGATGGAGGTCCATGGAAGGCAAATAAGTTTAAATCAAATAAGCAAAAGAGGATTGGGTAAAAATAAATAAAAGTATTCAAGCTACGTTTTGAGCATCCAAAACACTCCAACACTTCAAGYTGGCTGCTTGTGCTCTTTAGGTCAGACGTGTTCGGACTGTCAGGAAGCTCCTCTGTTGTTTTCCTCTGTCGGTCTCTGTTTAATGGAGGATGAAATAAAGAAAGTGGTTGTACTTTATTTGCTTTGAGCAARCGAACGTYGTGCTCACAAGATAGTTAATCCACCAGATAATTCAGAGGCGGTCTGTTCAGCGAGTTTTACTGCTGGAGCTGCGAGCTGCGAGGCTCGCTAGCTTTCAAGCTACATTCTGAGCTCTGTTTACCAGTGGCTGCTGATGTCATTATGCTCTTGCATGATGTTGCGTTCAGGACAAGCACGGAAAACTCACCACTCTTATGCCAATACGGTCACAATGATGCATTTTGGTACCGTTTGATGTTACGTGAATAGGTTCTCGGTAGTACCGACAGAATTCGGTCTGTACTTTAAAAAGTATTGAATTCGGTACCCATCCCTATCTGGAGGTCAYGCAAGATTTTTCCTCTGACATGAATCCTCACGAGATTTAAAGAAGTCTCGCGTGATTTCACATTTGACATCTGAATGTTCATGAATGAAATATCTTTTTGTGTGTGGTTGTTGTCTCTTGCCGTGTGCACACACTGTAGGATCAAACCTGGTATATTCATGATTTTTCATCCTTGTGTTTGGGGTCTCTCAGACTTTGAAAATCGGCCGACTGTTTTAAAATCTTTCAGTGTGACACAGCCTTAACCAGTTCATAAGTTTGCCTTCATCATCTTTGCACATTCAAAATCTTTTCATCTGAACAATATCACTTTGCTGCTCATTATGTACACTGAGGCAACATATGTAGTAAATCAGACTGAACCCATTTCAAGATTGTCCCCACCAAATAATTTGCTCCTTTATCTAGTTGTTTTTTAAAGGGATCCCCAAATAGTTGTAACATTAGATTTTATTTGATAAACATATGTTTTAACTGTAAAATAAAGTCTGTAAAAATACTGTAGGCTGACGCTATATTGCCTTATATATATTAGCTTGGTGCTAGTGCGACAAACAAGCTAAACTGAGGCCCTCCATCCATATTTTCAGTTACAGACTGAGTCATTTCTACCTTCTCCTCTCTGTCAACGCTCTCTGGTTTCATTTAAAAGAGTCGATCGTCAGATATTGTCCAAGATTAACCTTCAGGGTGGATATAGCTCGCTAGCAGCCTCGCACCGAGGACCTACCCACGTCATCATTTACCGTTTACACGTACCTCGAAATTTAGACACATCTCCTCAATTCTCTCTGAACTTCACTGGCTACCTGTTCATTTCAGGATCAGGTTTAAAATTCTAATCCTCACTTTCAGAGCTCTGCAAGGCCAGGCGTCTGACTACATTAGAAGTCTGCTCTCCCCTCATAATCCCAGACTCAACTTATGTTCACAAGATCAGAATCTTCTTTTGGTTCTGCACACTTTCTTCAAGATCTGTAGTGACCATGCCTTCACCTGCATGGTCCCAAGGCTTTGGAACACCCTCCCMTTCCCTCTGCTCTCCCTTAGTAATATCAATTCCTTTAAAAAAAGTCTAAAAACCCATTTTTTTACTCAAACATTCAACTAAACAGTGTCTGCTTTCTACAGCCTACTGTAAGCCTATAGTGCCTGCCTGTYGTCCATTTCTTTATATTTCTGTAAACCTGTAAAAAGTCTACCGTATTCATCCTGGGACGATCTTATTGCTCTGATTCACTGTTGGTTGCCATATTCAATCATATGTCAGTATGTCAGCCTTGCCCCGTTTTATTCACACCTGTTGTTGTGCCCCGTCTCCTATATATGTTCTGAGCTGGAATTTATTTATTTTATCTGACTATCTGATGTTTTATTGCTGTCTTTACATTCTTAATACTGTTGATGATAGTACAGCACCTTGTGAATTTATTTCTATGACAGGCGCTTTATAAATAAAACTTTACTGTGTGCATGCGCACACAGGGTTTTTGCGCATTCACCGGAGGCAGGGAGGATCATTCGCTGTGTGAGTCGAGTGTTTACATTTTTTCCAACGATAGAAATGGGGAAAAGCGACTTTTGTAGTCTGTATAATATTTCGAGGCAACGTGACCATCACGACAACCTCTCAGATCCGCGACACACTTTTCAGGGATTTTGTCCATTGGTTGTCCACAATTTTCCAAAACCACACATCAACATTACAACTTGCCTTCATCACTTAGCTCTTTCAAATTACATTCCCCCTCACTTCAGATTTTTTGCAGGAATGTGGCATTTCGCCATCCAGTCAAATTGTAAGCTTCTAATCTTGATTATATTTCACTTTGCTCTTATAGCAAGCTCCAGACTACCGACTCTATAAGAGTGAGCCAGAGCTTACCACTGTGAAGGAAGAAATGGATGAACACAATGAGGACAAGGAAAAGGCTGGGACAACTGCGGAGAGCAAGGACACTCCAACTATAAAAGGTGCATCCAGATTCTGTCACATAGAACTGATAATCTTGAATTGTTTTTAAAACACTGAGTTGCTCCTTTCAGATTATGATTCTGTGATATTGTTGAACCAACATGCTTGTTTGTACAATATTCAATCAATTATTAATTGAACTGAACCCAAGTTCGAAGCTAGACCGRCCCAGGCCAGTCCGAGCCTTGCAGTGCGAAAAACCTCATAGTAACATTATCTTCAAGTTAAGGACAATTACTTTCACATTCAAAGTCTCTACTTGTACACAGAACAGATCTTCCGATTCATGGTTTCATGAACTTTGTTCTGACTCACCACTTTCTTCAAGTGGTGTAAATCTATTTTGCAGAAAGATTTCTCATCTTCCTTCATTTCTGTCACTGTTATCTTTTGTTTTGATTCCAGTCTAATGCTGTGTTCTCCTCTTTTTTGCTGGAGAAAAAACATTCTCTGTAATTCTAGCCATTCTTTGTCATCTAAATGTTGAATCCTTCCTGAAAGAGTTTTTGGTCTCGCACCAAGGGAGTTCCATATATTTCTGCTCTAAGAAACAGTGTTTACGCTTTAGACACGCCCACTCTTGTGACACACCCACTTTTATTCCGCAGATAACCCCTTCTTGAAAAAGAAGAGATGTGAGTTCTAATAAATATGGTAACACCTGCCTAAAGAGATGGCCGAGTGCTTCTTATCCATCCACATGAGGAGAGCTGTGGAACTCCAGCCAATCATTAACAGACACCTAAATACAATTTGCAAAATAATTTGAATGCTGTGTAAAATTATTTACATAATTACGTAATCCTCCTCGAATCATGAGTCTGTCATGACTGTTTTTTCCTGTAATTTCATATTTTTCTCCACAGTATCTTTCTTTTATTTTCGTTTTTATCTCATTTCATCTTGATAATCTGGTACAGTAATTATTATTCTTATTTTTATTTTGATCTATGTTTATTTTTAGTTTAATTCTATTATTATTGTTACAGTTGACAATGTCACAGCAATATACTGTTTCTGTGGATTGATGCATGTATGTGCTGCTGCTACTACACCTGAAATTCCCCGCGCGGGACAATAAAGGCAGTTTCCATTTATTTCCAGCTATTCTATTCTATTCTATTCTGTTCTATTCTATTCTATTCTATTCTATTCTATTCTATTCTATTCTATTCTATTCTA